GTCTCTTACTTCCCTCAAATACCATTCACCTTTGCCCTCGATCCTCCCTAACTTCCCTCACCATCCACTTTTCTCCGCTTCTCTTTCTCACAATACCTCACCACCATACTTAAGCTATGATGGTACTATCCTGCCCAGCCCCTCCACCATCCCTTCCGCCTTACACAATCACCTTTACACCTTAGAAGGTGTAAAGGACGACATTTCGGTCCGTCCTGGACCATTCTCAAGTCGATTGTGAAGGGAACGTCGTCTTCCCTTCACCTTCTAGTGTGTGGTCTGGTCAACAATATAGAAGCATTAAGGGGAACCATCATGGGCCAATAGGCCTTCTGCAATTACTTAAAAATCTTATGTTTTATAGCCATTGGTTCGTGTTCTATCTTGTGCAAATGTCAATCACCTCACCCAAAACTTTTGTACCATATCACCTCCCCCAAATGCGAGTATAAGTATGGATGTATTCTGCGTGTTTACAGACGGGCTCACCATAGCCCGTGCTATATGGACACTTCGTTCTGAGTAGCTAAATCTAAAACAACAACAGCGTGTTTACAGGTTACAGTTGTGTGTGTAAACTAAAGTCTTTGAAAATGTAATAAGTTATTACGAAGTGCATTCAGGCGTCAGACAAGAAATAAAAATGAATTTTGGAGAATGGATTTTTCAATTACCATCGACAGTGAAAAGAAACATAAGAAATATTGAGAAAATTCGTGTTAGAATTAAGCTTACCTTTTCGGTCATATTCAACAACATTTAAGAGAAAGAGAATATCAATATGAACATTTATTTAATTGTTAGTGTCGAGAGACTACCAGAGGCAAGGTTGTGTAGCGGCCGGGAGTGGTGGCCGGGGGCATTAGAAATGGTGATGTGACCAGATAATGGTATTGTGGCCAGATAATGGTATTGTGGCCAAGGTATTGTGTGGGCGGAAGTGCGAGAACAACGCGGAAGAGCGACTGTGGTGTGACTGTCGGGTGTGTATAGTGTGATGTGGCCCCCAGCGAGGGCACGGTGTCCACTCACAGTGCTGGCACCCTCAGCACTGTGCCAGCCCGTCCTCTCAACCAGCACGTGGCATTTTGTACGTTATGATCCCTAACGTACAAAGTACAGGGTACTATAAAGAGTAGCGGCTCACAGATATCCACTCTTTGCTTGGACAGGTAGGTGAGGTTAGGAGGGTTGCTTGGGTTAGTACGTTTCTGGTTAGATTAGCCCTTTGTAGTTTGTTCGTTGAGACAAATGAAGAGACTCCTTCAGGAGTCTCTTAGTCTTGGGCTGAAGCCACCAGCACATCAGTGTTGTATAAGAGTATACTCTGTCTCCCTCTACTGACTGACAGGTTGTGGAGGTCAGGTTTAGTGTAGTCTCACCTGATGGAGATCGTGTGCAGCTTACGAACTATATCCTAATGTATAATCTAAGCAATTTACATTTGTGGTTTGCTAGTTACGGGTTTCAATGCCTCAGATTTGTCATTCAGTTGAAAGAAAAGTGATCTAAGTATATTGCTGTAGATACCGTTATGCTACATGGTTATGAGATAAGCAGAACAGGGACATTAGGCTTATAACCCCAAAAATTCATTGGGGCAGAATTGGTTCCTTACAAAATAATTTTATGGGTGAAGTTTTAGCCCAACTGGCTCCGCTGGCGATGTTCCAACGAGTGAACTCAACAAGTCGACCAACAGAGCTTGTGCGACGTATGAGCTTTGATCAAGTTATTTTGGATATTAATCCGTGCGACGGGCGGATGACGGCACAGACAACAGGAGGCCGGGGCGGGGCGGGCCGGGGCGGGGCGGTGTACAGGGATCAGTTCAGCGAGGAACTTCCGGTCGTGTACACTTTATCTAGAGGCCCCCCCCCCACCACCACCTCAACCCCCCCCTCACTCCATAACCCTGCAGTCTACCACACTACACACAGAAATCACAATTGCGTGATGCATCAAATGAACAAATCCACAAGGGCCGTGACGAGGATTCGAACCTGCGTCCGAGAGCATCCCCAGACGCGTCTGGGATGCAAATTGCAAATTGCACCTTTGCAAATTGTTGTTGTTTCCGATTCAACTATGTATTACGGACAATGGAAACGTCTGGAATGCTTTCGGACGCAGGTTCGAATCGTCGTCACGGCCCTTATGGATTTGTTCACCTGCCGTCTACTGTTTTACAAGACTGCTAGTGCCCAGGTCAATTTATATATATATATACATATATATATATATATATATATATATATATATATATATATATATATATATATATATATATATATATTATAATAAAAAATGTGTGTATTCACCTAGTTGTGCTTACGGGAGTTGAGCTCTGCTCTTTCGGCTCGCCTCTCAACTGTCAATCAACGACCACTTTACCCCCCCCCCCCCCCCCCCCCACACACACACATCCAGGAAACAGCCCGTAACAGCTGTTTAACTCCCAGGTACCTATTAACTGCTAGGTAACAGGACCATCAGGGTGAAAGAAACTCTGCCCATTTGTTTTCCGCCATCGCCGTTGATGGGACCCCCGGTCCCCAAGATTACGAGTCTTGAGTGCTGTCCACTCAGCCACAGGCGCCCCAGCAGTGTATGTGTGTGTGTGTGAAAGGCTGCATGAACGCGCGAACCATTAATTGTTTCTTGTTGCATATATATTGTGGCCATAGTATAGATGTACTCACCTAATTGTGCTTGCGGGGGTTGAGCTTTGGCTCTTTGGTCCCGCTTCTCAACTGTCAATCAACTGGTGTACAGATTCCTAAGCCTACTGGACTCTATCATATCTACATTTGAAACTGTGTATGGAGTCAGCCTCCACTACATCACTTCCTAGTGCATTCCATTTATTAACTACTCTGACACTGAAGAAATTCTTTCTAACGTCTCTGTGGCTCATCTGGGTACTAAGTTTCCACCTGTGTCCCCTCGTTCGTGTCCCACCCGTGCTGTATGATGTATGGGCAGCACAGGGGTGGGTGAGCGCAGTTACCAGACAAGACAACCAAATATATCACGTAAGACTACACTTATTATCATAAATATTTACGTGAGGTACTTTCTATAAATTAAATATAATTTTGACTTATGTATTAAAGACCTTGCCTGCAGGAGGAGCCCCCTGAGGTGAGCCAGTGAGGGCAGGCACCGCCTCCACCCTCTTGACCAGATGCTCAGGCGCCCTAACCTAACCGTCCACCTCAAGAATTAACTTACAGATTACTAACCATGATTTAGGTGGTTCTGTAATCATTGATGGATTAAATAAATTTCAGTTTGTTGAACTTAAATTCACATTTAATTTCGATCAGCTGGACAGTCCGAATCTTAATAAATTAAACTACACTAATTGAAGGTTTTGTGTAGGAACCAAATTATAATTCTCTAAACCGTCCAGTGAACTATATGTTTAACACATCTCTCACCATGTACATGGAGGACAGAAGAAAATGTATATATGCTGGTTAGCATTGTAAATGTCTGGCCACGTCTGTGGTAGAAAATAATAATAATAATAATAAAAAAACTGATCTACCACAAGGTGACGTCACGTCTGTCACCGGTGGTGACGTTACTTGTCTGTCACTGGTGGTGACGTTACTTGTCTGTCACTGGTGGTGACGTCACGTCTGTCACTGGTGGTGACGTTACTTGTTTGTCACTGGTGGTGACGTTACTTGTCTGTCACTGGTGGTGACGTTACTTGTCTGTCACTGGTTTTGACGCCAACATTTGACATTTCTTTGTTACTATTTTCGTAATGCAACGGTCAGTGAAATTTGGTGTTCGTGTGATTTTTCTTAATAGTATTTAATGACATCATTAACTATTAATTGGCATTCCCAATAATATTCGCTCACTCGCGAAACATTATCGTCATATTTCGCACCTGTTCATATTTTGTGTGTTGATTAAGCCTTGTTTTGTGCTATCGGTAATTATCATCATTATTTTCTATCTGGTATTTCATCAGGACTTATTTCGTGTATAAATTTTCTTTCCGTCCTTTTCACTCTTTCTTTTCCTCTGTCGCTGGTAGTGACCTCACCTCCACCTTCCTGTAACCACCTGACTTTCTTTCCCAGTGTCGACCACACTACAAGTCTTCCGTCTTCATAAATAATAAAGCAGAATTTTGACAACCGTAAGATGATGTCGGGGGCTGTTCTGAGTGATGGTTTATTACATCTTTACATCTTTGGACCAGATCTGACGAGCAGGAAACTGCCGATCAAACCTGATCGGCAGTTTTCTGCTCCTCAGCCAGACAATGTCAACGTTTCCTGCTCCAACTAGACACCATCGACCAAAACTGAGACACCGTCGACCAGTAGAGTGAGAGATCACAGCCAAGGAGTGAGATCACTGGCGCTAGGTTTCCGTCGTCCTGGTGCAGCCGCCTCCCTACAGGCACCGCTATTTCCTGCTTCCTTTCAAGGTAGAATGAGAGAGAGAGAGAGAGAGAGAGAGAGAGAGAGAGAGAGAGAGAGAGAGAGAGAGAGAGAGAGAGAGAGAGAGGAGAGAGGGGGGAGAGGGAGAGAGAGAGAGAGAGAGACTGGTTGTTAAACGATTTTGCGGGGTGGTATTCCGGGGAATATTAGGATTAAGGACTTGCCCGAAACGCTATGCGAGCTAGCGTTAAAAAAAGGAACAAAGTAGCAAATACTGCCATAACTCGTGCTCCCGGAGCCTGAGCTTTGCGTCCCCTTGACTTCCTGGCTCTAATTCTTGTGTCCGGTGGGCGTGTGGTGATGATGTGGAGGGAGGGAGGGAGGGAGGAGAACCATGTATAACTGCGAGAGGCGACCCCTCAAGTGAACGGAGGACGTGTCTGCTGGTGTGTTGGTAGCAGGAGCCTCACTCACGCCCCAGCGCTGTGGAATGTCCTTAATCCTCCTACTCCTCCAACATCCACCTCTTCATCTTTTTCCGCATCATCCGCCACTTTTTCCTGCCCCTCTTCATTCCCCTTTGCTACATATTTATCTTTTTATCACTTCCTCTGGGTTTATCACTTCCTCTGGGTTTATCACTTCCTCTGGGTTTATCACTTCCTCTGGGTTTATCACTTCCTCTGGGTTTATCACTTCCTCTGGGTTTATCACTTCCTCTGGGTTTATCACTTCCTCTGGGTTTATCACTTCCTCTGGGTTGATCACTTCCTCTGGGTTGATCACTTCCTCTGGGTTGATCACTTCCTCTGGGTTTATCACTTCCTCTGGGTTTATCACTTCCTCTGGGTTTATCACTTCCTCTGGGTTTATCACTTCCTCTGGGTTTATCACTTCCTCTGGGTTGATCACTTCCTCTGGGTTGATCACTTCCTCTGGGTTGATCACTTCCTCTGGGTTTATCACTTCCTCTGGGTTTCTACTCGGCTCGTGTCTTTTTTTTTAACCTGATGCTTCGTTATTCGTGTTTGTAAATTGTTTACATTTTGGCCTCTGTCTCTCTTTCTTTTTTCTTTATAAATGGTAGAGTGTAATGCTGTGATCACCTTGTTAGCGCTTGAGGGTTAGCCCGAGACCGCGCTTGAGGGTTAGCCCCTCAATTATTTTCCACGTGTAAATTATTATGTATCTCTCTCCCGCCTGCGCTCAAGGCAGTACAGATTTAGGCTCTTTAGTCGGTCCCAGTAATTTAGATGTTTTACTGAGTGGATTCTAGCAGTAAAGGATCTCTGCACGCTCTCCAGGTCAGCAATTTCTCCAGCTTTGAAAGGGGCTGTCATTGTGCAGCAGTACTCCACTCTAGAGAGCACAAGCGTCTTGAAGAGTATCATCATCGGTATAGCATCTCTAGTGTGAAAAGTTCTTGTTATCCAACCCTGTCATTTTTCTTGCAGTTGTGACGGCTACTTTATTGTGTTCTTTAAAGGTAAGGTCTTCCGACATGAGTACACCCAGATCCTTTACATTGCCTTTTCGTTCTATGTTATGATTTGCCCGAGTTTTGTACGTGGTTTCCGTTTTTATATTTTCTTGATTCACTCACTGCTATCAGACTATCAGTGTCAGGTTAACAACTGGCTGACCTCTACAACAAGAACTAGCTGCATTACAACTCGCTACCGCTACATTAAAAAACACGGGAGGAAAATAATATTTTATGATTCAAGGTCTGCTCTACAAGCAACTGAAAACTTCCTCTTTGGGAGTGAGCAGGATGCTCACTCCCTTCCCTCACTGTGAGGGGTTGAGTGCTTACACTCCCCTCCCTCACTGTGAGGGGTTGAGTGCTCACACTCCCCTCCCTCACTGTGAGGGGTTGAGGGCTCACAATCCTCTCTTCCTTGCTTCCTCGCGTCCCTGCCCCAGGATGGCGGCCTCTACACAACACCACAGGAAGGGTGTTGGTCCTAATTCGTCGTTTCGCTTTGCTGGAGATTAAGGCGAAGAGGAAATAATGGAGAGAAGGAAATAAACAGGTGCATAGACAGGAGGAAGATGGCGGCGATTGTCTAGACCCCACTGGTGCCACCACCACCACTGGTGCCGCCACCACCACTGGTGCCACCACCGCAGACTGGTGTAGAAGATGGAGACGCAGACTGAGAAGACATAGAACTTCGTAAAATAGTATTTAAAGAACAGAAAACAGTTAATTACAGTGAAAAAATCAGTAGTTTATTCACTGTTATTAGGGAGTGTTTGGTTCCTGGAATAAGTATGGGAAGAGTAGGAACGATCCGTGTCCACTTCAAATACTGACGTCTTTGTTTCCCTGCTCTTGTCTAAATGTTAAGTAGTAGAGTTTAACTAACATGGACTTAGCGAATGCACGTCCTGTCTATGGAAGATATTTGAGTTTTGTGATAAATAAACAGCAGTAAGGTCTGTGTCTGTCTGTCTGTGTCTCTCTCTCTCTCTCTCTCTCTCTCTCTCTCTCTCTCTCTCTCTCTCTCTCTCTCTCTCTCTCTCTCTCTCTCTCTCTGTCTCTGTCTTTCTCTGTCTCTCTCTCTCTCTCTCTCTCTCTCTCTCTCTCTCTCTCTCTCTCTCTCTCTCTCTGTCTCTGTCTCTGTCTCTGTCTGTCTCTGTCTCTCTCTCTCTCTCTCTCTCTCTCTCTCTCTCTCTCTCTCTCTCTCTCTCTCTCTCTGTCTCTGTCTCTGTCTCTGTCTCTGTCTGTCTCTGTCTGTCTCTGTCTGTCTCTGTCTCTCTCTCTCTCTCTCTCTCTCTCTCTCTCTCTCTCTCTCTCTCTCTCTCTCTCTCTCTCTCTCTCTCTCTCTCTCTCTCTCTCTCTCTCTCACACACACAGTTTAGCTCCTCTAAGAGGTGGTCAGCCGAAAAGTCTCAGCAGGAAGCCCATCTTACCTGTGCATTAAAAGCCTTTTAGCCATTAATTATTTCGTTCGCCCAAGTGATCCAGCAAGGTACCGAGCTCCTCATACTTCTCTTCTTGCTGCTGTTGTTGCTACTGTTTCTGCTGTTGCTGCTGTTGCTGCTGTTGCTGCTGTTGCTGTTGCTGCTGTTGCTGCTGCTGCTGCTGGTACCCCTCTTCCTCCTTCACAAAAAAGGCCCCACCTCGGATGAGGGCTGGGCGTAAATCACTAACATTACGAGCCAACATCCTGCCCAGAGAAGAATAAATGCGCCAAATTACTCACAATCCTCACCAGTTTTGGAGGTTTGTGACTCCGCGGTTGAGTCACGCCCTCACCCGTCCTCGGGTGCTGCTCTGCTGGCCTGCAGCAGACAGTGACGTCAGCTGATGTCATACTGATGCCTGCTGCCGTGACATGATGTTCCTGAGGTGTCTTGTGAGATTACACGATGTCATAGAGATGTCTGGTGCGGTGACACGATGTCATAGAGATGTCTGGTGCGGTGACACGATGTCATAGAGATGTCTGGTGCGGTGACACGATGTCATAGAGATGTCCACACCAGTCACGATATGAATGACAGTGAACACTTTCGAGAATACTTTGTGGCAGGACTGAGGAAACACTGACCGTCTCAGTGTAGATGAGGACAGAGGCTCGGGCTGAGGTCCTCTGCAGGAACCCTCAGGGGACCCTCAGGGGACCCTCAGGGGACCCTCAGGGGACCCTCAGGGGCCTGTGTTCTCCATGGTGACAATATTGTTGCAATATTTTACTGTGTTGTCTACGTGAGTGGTATTTAGTTTCTTTAACAACCCTACACTATCTCTGCCTGCTCTCTCTCTCTCTCTCTCTCTCTCTCTCTCTCTCTCTCTCTCTCTCTCTCTCTCTCTCTCTCTCTCTCTCTCTCTCTCTCTGTCTGTCTCTGTCTGTCTCTGTCTGTCTCTCTCTCTCTCTCTCTCTCTCTCTCTCTCTCTCTCTCTCTCTCTCTCTCTCTCTCTCTCTCTCTCTCTCTCTCTCTCTCTCATCAATGTCCCTTCTTCCTACTTCACTGCTCGCTCCGTATTCTTTTCCTCGCCTGATAATAGTGCTTAACTTTCGTGTATTAAGCTATTAAAGGCGTGTTCCCTGTGATCGGGGGCGTGGTCTCCGCCCTTGTCGTCTTCTGTGCCTTTGGTGATCGGATCGTTAGCGATGTCTGGTATAGTTAACAAGGATTCGAGAAGGCGTCGTTAGTGGAGGGTATGTGGCCATTCAAGGTTGCTGGAGGTCGTTAGTTGGCGAGTGGGGTCGTTCAAGGCTGATGGGGCCGTTAGTGGGGTTGTTGAGTCAACCAAGGCTGATAGAGGTTATTAGTGGGGTACGGTTGACTTCGTGCTGTGAGTGTAGTCATTTTAGTCTGATGGAGGTCGTTAGTGGGGGAGCTGGGTCGTTCTAAGCTGATGGAGGTCGTTAGTGGGGGAGCTGGGTCGTTCTAAGCTGATGGAGGTCGTTAGTGGGGGAGCTGGGTCGTTCTAAGCTGATGGAGGTCATTAGTGGGGGTGCTGGGTCGTTCTAAGCTGATGGAGGTCGTTAGTGGGGGTGCTGGGTCGTTCTAAGCTGATGGAGGTCGTTAGTGGGGGTGCTGGGTCGTTCTAAGCTGATGGAGGTCGTTAGTGGGGGAGCTGGGTCGTTCTAAGCTGATGGAGGTCGTTAGTGGGGGTGCTGGGTCGTTCTAAGCTGATGGAGGTCGTTAGTGGCTGAGTTATTGGAAAGAAAATGATAACTGGATCAATTGAGAACAATTACATGAGGTCGTTTTGAGATATTATTGATGAGAAAGAAGTCCTTATGACTTGGTAGAGACTATTCAATAAAGTAGACACCCAACCCAAACTTGTGAAGAGAAAGGTTGTCACGACCTCCTCCTCCTCCTCCTCCTCTTAGTATCACAGACCATTATCAAGTTGCCTCTCGGCTTCTCTCCTAATTCGGGTGTATTCCTTCCTTGATCTCTTTAGGGTCTCTGTTGTTTACTGTTCCCATTTCTCTGTACCTTTTCCAGGATTTGTTGTCCTTTCCTTTGCTTCTCTGTACTGCCTATTGAACCAGAGGTTTACTTTACTTGTCACTCACCTCCTTCTTTAGTGGTGTGAACTCTTCCGTTGCGTCGGCACGTTTCCCAGCAGTGTATTCCGTCATATCGTTTACTGTCTTCCCTTCCATTTATCTTTCCCACTGGATTTCCTGCAGACTGTCCCTCATCCTGATGTAATCCCCGCGTCTGTAATCTCTCTTCTTCTTCTTCAATGGGTTTCTTTGTGCAACCAATTCCTTCAGTTGCACTATGTATTCAAGGATGACAATGCGGTGGTCGCTAGCTCCAAGAGGCATCTCATACTCTATTTTTTTTATCATCTGCTTCAGTTTGGGAAATCAGCCAAGTGTAGTGTTGCTGGTGGATCGTTTCCTCTGACTCTTGTTGGTTCTGTGACATGTTAAGACGTGTTTGTCTGTCGTGTCTATCAGTGTTGTCCTCCATGTCTCATCACCCCCGTGGAGATCCTTATATATCTAGTCTGTTTCCCTGTGGTTGAAGTCCTCCAGTATTAGGATCTGAGATCTTGTTCCCCTTGCTACTGTTGCTGCTTTTGCCGGTAGGTGAAATGTGAAAGTAAAGGTGGTACTCGTGGAAGGGGCAGCAGAATCATTGGTGTTTACAGGAGGAACCAGGAATAATATATTGATAACTTTTCTGCATAGAGAATGATTCGTCGAGATCAGTCTTTGTCACTCTGAGGAGAATAATTAGTTCTTTAATGAGTTTCGAACGCTCGTCCCTGAATAGGTTGTGGATGGGGAGTGACGTGGGTGGTTTTTGTACAATAATGAAGTTGTTATGATGTTGTTGTTATAGATTCAGCTACTGGGAACAAGTTCCAAGTAGCACGGGCTATGGTGAGCCCGTAGTGGACTTACCTGGCACAGGAGCGGTGCTGAATGAGTGAATAATGAAGTATTGGGGCCAGACTGAGTGTGGGTGTGGGGTAAACAGTGCAGGGTTGGGGCAGAGTTAGGGCGCCTGGAACAGGCTGTGTGTGTGTGTCATGGGGGAGGGTGGTGGTGGTGAGACGGGCATGTTGAGCCTGCCTCCCTTCACAGTCTAATATACAGACCCACCGATCTGTACTACTACAGTCTACCTCGGGCTCCATGATCTGTACTACTACAGTCTACCTCGGGCTCCATGATCTGTACTACTACAGTCTACCTCGGGCTCCGTGATCTGTGCTACTACAGTCTACCTCGGGCTCCATGATCTGTACTACTACAGTCTACCTCGGGCTCCATGATCTGTACTACTACAGTCTACCTCGGGCTCCATGATCTGTGTTACTACAGTCTACCTCGGGCTCCATGATCTGTGCTGCTACAGTCTACCTCGGGCTCCATGATCTGTGTTACTACAGTCTACCTCGGGCTCCGTGATCTGTGTTACTACAGTCTACCTCGGGCTCCATGATGTGTGCTACTACATTCTACCTCGGGCTCCATGATCTGTACTACTACAGTCTACCTCGGGCTCCATGATCTGTGCTACTACAGTCTACCTCGGGCTCCATGATCTGTGCTACTACAGTCTACCTCGGGCTCCATGATCTGTACTACTACAGTCTACCTCGGGCTCCATGATCTGTACTACTACAGTCTACCTCGGGCTCCATGATCTGTGCTACTACAGTCTACCTCGGGCTCCGTGATCTGTGCTACTACAGTCTACCTCGGGCTCCATGATCTGTGCTACTACAGTCTACCTCGGGCTCCATGATCTGTGCTACTACAGTCTACCTCGGGCTCCGTGATCTGTGCTACTACAGTCTACCTCGGGCTCCATGATCTGTGCTACTACAGTCTACCTCGGGCTCCATGATCTGTGCTACTACAGTCTACCTCGGGCTCCATGATCTGTGCTACTACAGTCTACCTCGGGCTCCATGCCAGTTATGTATAAATCATGTGTGTTTGGGTCCACCTCCACCTTCCCTTCACACCGGTCGGTTTAATCCTGATTAACACCCCTGGGGAGAGGAGGAAGGGGGGGGGGTACTGGGGCCCTGGCACGCCTTGTGGAGTGCTTACCTATCAGTGTTTACCTATCAGGGACTATGGGAAAACGAGGTCTAGCTCTACATACCCAGAGTGATTGCATTAGTTAACAGCTTTTGTCACCCACAACATTTATAATGATTCTTATGTGGTTTTTTTACGCTGAATTCAAATTTATAATCACAATTTTCTCTCGCCCATATTATTTTTTTACAATTATTTAACTATTGAATTTATAGGTATATGTGTATGAACTACGGAGCACATATAAGGATTTGACATGTAATATGTCTTTAAGAATCTATTCCTTGAATTCTCACTTGGAGTTCTTGCCGACAAACTTAGGCGTTGTTAGCACCAGTAACGGTGAGGGAGGCCAGGATACTGCCAGCCTGGGCGTTGTTAGCGCCAGTAATGGTGAGGGAGGCCAGGATACTGCCAGCCTGGGCGTTGTTAGCGCCAGTAACGGTGAGGGAGGCCAGGATACTGCCAGCCTGGGCGTTGTTAGCGCCAGTAACGGTGAGGGAGGCCAGGATACTGCCAGCACCAGTAACAGTGAGGGAGGCCAGGATACTGCCAGCACCAGTAACAGTGAGGGAGGCCAGGATACTGCCAGCACCAGTAACAGTGAGGGAAGCCAGGATACTGCCAGCACCAGTAACAGTGAGGGAGGCCAGGATACTGCCAGCACCAGTAACAGTGAGGGAGGCCAGGATACTGCCAGCCTGGAACATACCGTCCAGGACAAGTCCAGTGTGGTGGCTGGATGCTCAAGGGGGGGAATGTTCCCTAAGCAACATATACCAGGAAGTCATAGAGATAACTCCCTGTAGGTCATTTTTTAAATGTCATCGTAGTATATATATGTAAATGTTAATTTACATATATTAATATATGTAATATGTTAATTTATTCAAAATTAACCTATGATCACTAAAAACCTTACATGATACCAACACAACTAGTAATATATTTGAACTTAGCATGAACATTCTATTAAAATCACGTATTCATTTGTGACAAAAATGTTATTTACTTCACACAGAGAGATCACACTAACGTGATGCATCAAATGAACAATTAACTCAGTCGATTAAGGCAGTGTCTGGGATGCTCCCGGACGCAGGTTCGAATCCTCGTCACGGCCCTTGTGGATTTGTTCATTTGTTATTTACTTTCTCGACGAGTGTTAATAGTGTGACATAATTCCCCCCCAGCATAGCAGAGGAAACTGCCTCTTCCTACTCACCTTCCTTGTACATCACTCTGCGCACCATCTATATACGACCTGTATGAAGTTCAACCCCCGAGACGCATGTCTGGAGAGCACCTCCAGTCACCCTCCATCCCTCCCCCCCCCCCCCCCCCCCCCCCCCCGGAGCACCAGTCAGGTGTAAGACCCAGATCTGCCGCCTCATCGTTACCTGCGGGTAACAAGCAGTTTCACTACCGGCTTGTGGGTTCCGAGCTTTGGTGACAAAGGATGTGACGTCACCAGCAAGGGTGTAAGTACCCTTGACCTGCCTCACCAGTCTCTTATCAGGTGCTCAGAGATCACCACTACGGCGCCGCGTGACGCTGGCCGCCCGCTGCTCCATGTGCAGGTGGTAGTGTTTCTGTCAATATTCTCTTAGTCTCACTTTTGTTGCTATATTAACGTAAGGTTATTTATATCTACTTGTTAAATGTGTTAGCCAAGTATTGTCCATTCAGGGGAGTGGTATTGTATATTTGTCATGTGTTGTTTGTTAATTTTGATATTAGAGTAAATTGTGTTAATTTTTCGTGTAGCCGCACTACTGCGTCGCGTCACAATAGTTTGGTCAGCCTTCAGGGGCAGACTGTTGTCGACGTAATAGATGCGATATATCTTGTGTGTGTCTGTAATTTTATTCACCCGGGCAACAGAAGCCTCGAACACCCAATCTCCAACACTGATTGGAGGTTGCTCTATGAACTGCACTATTGGGCTAGCATTTTTTTATTATTATTATTATTATTATTATTTTCTACCACAGACGTGGCCACACATTTACAATGCTAACCAGCATATATACATTTTCTTCTGTCCTCCATGGACAGGGTTAGAGATGTGTTAAACATATAGTTCAAGGGTTTATTGAACACTCAACCACAGAAGGTGATTCGGTGCTTTTAAAATTCTAAGCTAACCGGGCTAGCATTAAAAGGGAAGGATTCCAAGGCACCTAACCGCTACCCAAAGGTTACTACCTTCCCCGGGCTGCACAGGTGAGTTATGTGAGCCACACAGTGAGTGGTATAAAGCTAGCAGTTGATAAAGCAACTTCTGCAGGCGATGAGTCACGACAACGTGGCTGAAGATATGATCACCAATCATAACAAAAATGAAGAAACGACGATGCTTTGGTCGGTTCTGGACCATTATTAAGTCGTGTAGACTACAGCACTTGATATTGGTCCAGCACGGACCGAAACTTTGTCGTGTCTTCATTTTATGATGTATTTAATTGATTAGGAGAGGGCTTCTTTAATAACGAATTGTAAAATTATTTTCAATAGAAACATTATTGAATGTGCTTTACTACAGATTACAAAGTCATATAATTTGAACATTAATAGTGATTTGTATAATTTAGATAGATTTTTGAATGATTAGTTAAAAGAATCAACTTAATGAGATCATTGATACACATTTATCTCAATAATAGCTTATTAATATCCCCTTAACTCATTATGAACATTGTTTCTCACCTCACCTCATTCCTGCCTGTATATCCACACCACTCAATTGTAAATCCATCCTTTTGAAGATGTATTATTAAATACGAAAGTACTTCAGGAAATTGCTGTCTTAATCCTTCCTTCGTGATCTGACATTGTCATATTGTTCATCAAGTATTAATTTCTTCGTGATTTACACACACGCTAATGGTTGTTCAAGCAAATATACTCATATACACTCAGTTGGAAGCATTTATTGTAATATTCTCATCTGTATCCATTAGAGAGAATGTGTGTTTGTTTGTTGTTGTGTTGGGGATGGTTGGCCAGACCTCGTAGTGGGTCGCGCGCCTCTTTCCGCGCTCACTTGTCATTGTGTCTTTAACGAATGA